GTCCCACTTTCTTATTCATTCTGCTACTCCCTTTCTCTTGACTGGCACATCTAATGCATTTGCATTCAGTATAATTATCCATGTAAAATTTATTCCTGTTATTTTGCTTTGTGGTCTTTTGTTGTTGTGATGCTGCTGGGTTCTTTGTTCCACTTTTTTTCTCTTTGTTTCCTGTGCTGAGTTTATGCTGTTTGTGGGTTTTCTTGTTATGGTCTTTTTTGCTATTTAGAGTTTACTAAATTTTTATGATTTTTCTCTTTTTTATTTTGATAAGAATTTAACAATCTCTTCCCAAGTTTAAAATAATCGTTTCTATCTTGAAATCAACTTGACTTTCTCTCCATTTGGACGTTCTATAGCTACACTATTTATTCACTCTTTTTTACTTTGTAAGTCTTTATTTACAAATTGATATCTCTGATTCCCTATGTTCAGTCTTGTAGGCTTGTTTTACTTTGGATACATCTATGTCTAGGTTGGTTTTGGGGTGCTATGGTCTGCTGTTGTTAGTTCTCTGTCTGAAGAACCCTCTTTAGTATTTCTAATTATTGGTCAGGTTTTTACAAATTCCTTTAATTGCTGGTTATTTTAATGTCCTAATTTTACTGTCATATTTAAGGAACCATTTTTTGCTTGATAAATAATTTTTGGTTGACATTTCTTTCTTTTAGGGATTAGGTATGTCAACCTGTTGGCTCTTTGCCTACAAGATTTCCACTGAGATACCCGAGTTCAGTCTTATTGGTTCTCTTTTGTAGGTGACTTTCCTTATCTTTGGTTTTAGAAAGTTTGATTATGATATGTCATGGGACTTTTCTTGTTGGGTTGATCCTATTTGAGGTGTGTTCGGCTTCTTGAACACATAGCTTCTCATCTTTAATAATATTAGAGAAGTTTTATTCCAACAACTCATCAATAATTCTCTCTCTCTCTCTCTCTCTCTGTGTGTTTGCCTCTTCCTGTCCTGGGATTCTGATCACATATCTTTTGTAGGTGTCCCACACAATTACTCAATCCTTTGGTTCTCTTATTTTCTTCATTCCTTTTTTCTTGATTGTTCATCTAGCAAATTAGTATCAAGAGATTTGTTTTCAATTCACAAATTCAGTCTTCTATTGATTCAGTTCTACTGCTTTGCCCTTTGATTGCATTATTTGCTTCTGAATTCTTAGTGTTAATATCTTTGAATTTCTATTTCCTGTTTTTGTGCGATTTTGTTTTTCATTTATTTTTTCTTGTAGTGTTCTTTTTTTGTGTTTCCCTAGAGTTCATTTCCAACTTTCTCAATCTTTGTCTCAAGCCATTGAAAGTACCCAAGTATCATCCTTTGAATTCCTTATCAGTTACTTCTGATACCATTTCTCATTCCAAAAATTTCTGGCTGTGCATTTTGGTCACTTAATCTTGTTGATCTGTGTGTGCTGAAATTATCTATTGTCTCCAAGCCATTGTAGTATTGTTGTCTTTGTGTGGTGATTATATGTTGGTGTGTTCTTAGACAGTTACCGTCTGTCTC